GCAACCCAGAGCAGGCTGGGCTCCGAAACCTGTCAGGAGACTCGGTCCTATGGGAAAGCCCCACCTTGACTGTGAATAGCTGAGATTATGCTCATTTGGGTGAAATACATGAGCCTTTCAAAATACAAAATAAAGTGAATCCAGTGTTAATAAAAAGGCGCCAAAGGGACAGCCTGGAACAATAGCCCTTTCTTTCCACAGACCAGGGCAGGCTGGACAAGGGAGCCCTCACAACCCCCCGCAGCTCAGGGCCGACCCTCCTAATCATCACCTGGGCCTGTTGTTGGCCCGATAGGAAGTTCAGGCGAGTCCAGGAACCCCAAAGTGGGCTGCTCTAGTGTTTCACTTTGGTTCATGTTAGACACACATAAAAAAGAAAACCATGTGAAGAAAAAAATGACCTTCTATAACCAGCTTGGAAATGGGGAAACTAATTTTCAGGCTGAGCCTGGTTCGCAGTGCAACTGTGAATGAGCAACAGAGCCACACCGATCGTCAACCAGATGCAAAGTCTTCGGGTCTTTTACGATAAGACTCTACAATGACAGTTTAAGATGTTTTGCTGGACACTGACAACAGATTTGAGGAGGAACGAGTCGCCACAGGTCAGGGTCAGACAGAGCAATTCTAGCTGTTCTCAGCTGGCCTGTATCCTGACCAGCCAGGAGAGCGAGCCCTGTTGCCCTCTGTGTAGTCTATTTTTCTGGGCAGGAATCCCATGGTCTGTTTCTGAGTTCCACCCCATTTCCTACCCCTGGCTACACATGGACCCCAACTCCTCGGATGTCCGTCCTGCCGGGACATTTGAGAACTCACTTGTTTCTGGCGACACCCTGCTTCTTCCTGTTGCGATCTGGTATGGTAGCCTTTGAATAGGAAATTCAAATGTTGAGCACAGCTCAGCTCTCCTAGGGACTAGTTTAGCAAGACGTGCATCAGGCAGAGCCCAGCGCTTGCAAAGCACAGCTCTCGGAGCCCCGGGGTCTCCAGGTTCACGGCTCTGCCTCGCGGTCACCACCGTCGGGGTCAGCGGAACCACCACAGGCCCGTGGTCTACGCCATGGAGCCACTCCGGGTGTGGAGCACCAGATGTAACCCAGGTGAGAGAAGGGGTCCCAGGGCTGCTACAGGCAATCAGTGACCTGCCTGTGGTTTGAACTAAGTTTTCACCTGAAGAGATACCAAAAGGCAGTGTGGAAATCAAATCTACCTATTTAATACGCCACCCTGAACACGGAAGAATAACCAGCCTCCCAGTTCTAGAGAGTTCTAAAGGAAGAGACCTGGTAGTAGAAGAGTGAGGAGCCACGAGAGTAGGACTCTCGTGACCTGAAGTCCTTCCTCAGCAGAAGGGAGACAGACAGACAGATGGAGGGACCTCAGAAGCAGGAGTGGCATTTCCACAGGCTCCTCCACCTGCAGTCACGGCCCGAGCATCAGCCCTCACCCTTCCCTAAACACTAGCACAAGATGGCGTGTCATCTGCCGTTAAGGCCCGTTAGCACAGCCAGGTGTCAGCTTTGGAACCGCCTTAACTGAACCAAGCGAGCTCATGTTTTCTGGGACGCCCTTCTCTGCAGAGGCCAGCACGGTGCCTCACCAATGGAGCCAGAGATGAAGAGACAGAGTTAGTAAAACCAGTCCCTGTCCAGGGGGCGCTGAGTTCTCAGCCTTCCACGGTGCAGGCCCACCTCCAGCCTCCAGGCCAGGGCTAGCACCCCAGATGCCAAGCCAGTGAGACACAAGAATCACATCCGTAAGAATCCTCTCTGCCTAGCGCTGATGTGCAAATTAAGTAAGCCCTAAAAGAACTGTCTTTTTCTTCAAAGCTTCCTAAATTTCCAGGAATCATTTCAGAATGAGGTTGTTAAGTGCATCTGGTGTACCTTACAGAAAAAATGGCACCAAAAAACCTGAAAGGACTGCCCAACACACTGTGAAAGGCTTATTAGCAAGAGCTTCTTGTCTTCACTTACTTAAATCACAACAGAAAACAACCCACCATCACTGCTTCTTCTTGAGGCAGGTTGCTGGTCACAGCGAGGGAAGGATTCGGTAGCCATTACATCGTGAAATATAACTTGCACTGTGCTAAGCACAGAATCCCACCAGCCTGGAAGGAACCTGCCAAGATTATCTACTTCAGTGGCTCTCAACCCTGGCTGCCCAGTGAAACCACCGGGAAATCAGGAATCTGCTCATATGACGTTTGTACTGGACGGGCCCTGGGTGGCTCAGCCCGGGCCCTTTCCAAAGCTCCTCAGGTGATCCGACTGTGCGCCAGAGCTGAGGATCACTGTTTTGTCTAACTTTCACAAACGGAAACTGGAACCCAAAGAGCTTGGCCCACAGCCACGCGGATAATGAAGAGCACACGCTGTGCTCATTGCCGGCACTCTTCTGGAGAGGTTTGGCCTCTCCCGGTTGTGGTCAGTTTGAGCCCCACACGCAAAGGTACACTGCAAGGCCCCGCCCAGGCCATCGCCACTGGACAATATGTACATTCCTCTTTCTAAAAACGAGTCCTAAGCATGACAAGCTGTGCCAACAACCAGGAGTTATCCATGCTTCGTGTCAATGTTTCTCCATTTTGTGGCTGGGATGGTAACCCCAGGGGGCTGTGACGACAGAATCCCCGCCCACCCTTCCCTGTGGCTTCCCCTGGTCTCCGGACATGTCAAATGTCCATCAGCCGGGCCTTCTCCTCGGGTTCTCCAGATCGCAGAGCAGCAGGACCCCACACTCTCACACACGCACGCGTGTCTCTAGGTTTATATGCTACGATGACTTGTTCTGAAGTTGTGTTCTGGAGGCTTTCATTCAAAACAGTACGGGTGGCAGTTCTCCTGTGTGTCAGGCTTTGTTTCCCATGTGGAAGTGGAAACTGTGATTAACAAATAGTGAATCTTTAAGTAAAATTAGGATTCGAGTTATCTGCTTGAATGTTTGGGACTGAAAAACTAACAATGTTGGTTTTGAATGCTGAGCAAAGAAAAACTAAGGATTTATCTTAACAAACATCTGGAGACTGAAGGTGGTCAAACCATCAGATCAGACCTTCCTAGCCAACACCACTGTTGTGTGCAAAGTGTAAGCCATGAGCAACCCACCAGGACCACTCTCATCACACGCGGCCTTCATCTTCCAACGCCAAGTGAGTGATGTCTGCTCCCAGGGCCCCCCAGGTTAATCCACTGTAACTAATAATCTTGTTTCAAGATTACTTTTTGATCTTGGAGTTAAAATAACCTGATTCATTTTTCTTTTATCCAAGTAAAAAAATTACAAGAGTAAGAATTCTAGAAATCTCTATAAATTACAAAGCTATAATGCAAAATCTTTGAAACAATTTCTCTACAAATAGAAGAGTTAAGAAAATATTTCAATGAAAAAACCTACGTGTGTCCTTAGGTGTAAACAGTATAAGTATGAGGAAAATATCTTATTTTGAGGAAGTTTATTGTTACATTTTTGCAATAATAGATGAGGCACAACTATCTCCTGCTTCTCCAACATCTCAATAAAAAAGACAATAATCAAGGATAACAGTGAAATTAAAATAAAAAAATACAAAGGCCTAAGGTTTGGGAGACAAAAATGGCTACAATCTATGTGTAGAAAAGTTGTAAATGGTTTTAGTTTAGCCTTGCAGATAGTTATCTTCTCCAATGCCGATGGATCACGGAACTGAGAGCTGGGCGCCTTTACAGACTTGCTCCTTCGCTCGCTCATCAGGAAGAGGAGGCAGCCCAGTCTCAGCAAAGCTAAGTGGGGTCAGGGACTGAGCTGGCCAGGGACCCAGGCCTTCCGGCCATCTTGCCCTGCTTTCCAGTCAGTTCAACACAGTCACAAGCTCTCATTACTTACATGCTTCCGGTTTTGAAAGTGAACTAGCAAATTATCAGTGTTTAAAGGAAAAAAAGCACTCATTGACAGGAATGACCTAAGTTCATCAGGAAGGCAGTTCAAACACCTCCAATCATGATGGCAGCAGCCTCTACCAGAACCACGAAGAGTACTTCCAGGCTGGTGAGGACCAGCTTTGAATCCTAACAAACTTGTAAGACCCAGAACACCGACTGGGTGAGGAGCGCTTGCCATGCTGCGGATCGGGCTGCGCTTCACTGCCGTAAAATGAAAACAGGATCTTAGACTGCCCTGATGGAGCCTGTCGAGAGCGTTCTTTTGCCTTTAAACCATGGTCATTGGCACTGATCCTGGGTCACGTCCTTTCAGTTTATGAAAAGCCACAGGAAGCAGTACAAAAACAGCCACTTTTTTTCCAGCCAAAAAAAAAAGAGCCAAAACCCCAGCAAACATCGACACAAAGCCTTGAGCACCAAAAGGGAAAGAGAATTTCATGTTGTCTCCTCATTAAAAACACGGTGATAACAAAGATGACTCAGAAGCAGGTTTTTTCCTCTTTTCTTCTGGGTCAGCATCTGCCACAAGATTAATGTTTATCTGGCTTGCTGGAAACGAGCCAAGAGTGAGATGCAAAGGGACACAAGGACTGGGAACAGTGTGGCCTCAGGACAAGGGCTCTAGGATGTGTTATTAAACCACAGTGACATTCTGGTGCCAGTGACAGGGGAAGCTTTTTTTTTTTTTTCTTTTTCTTTTTTTTTTTTTTTTTTTTTTAAAGATTTTATTTATTCATTTTTTTCCCCCCAAAGCCCCAGTAGATAGTTGTATGTCATAGGTTCACA